CAGTTTAACCAAGCCTGTTCTTTCACATCTCATCAACTCAAGGAGACAGGAAAGTGTACACAGGGCATTGACCTCCACTCACCAGTTCCTAAAACAAGAAGTCATGGGACTGTGGTACCTACAGAGTTCATTTCTATTCTACTGGCAGTCATGGGCAGATGCTCACTGGGTCTCTCTGGGCCTCTGTTTCGTATGTTTATAAAGTGAAGGGTTTAAGACATATTGAAGATCCCCCAACTACAGGTTTCAAGAGCCTATGCCCAGCTACTGAGGAGGCTAAGGGAGAAAGATCACAAGTTCAAGGCCAATGTGGGCATCTTAGTCAGAGGCCCTGACTTCAGTCTCCAGGACTACTTTTTAAAAAGACTGAAGAGAAAGGGGTACAGGTACAAGCCAAATAGCATTTCAGTAGGTTTAAAAAATGATAGAACTATTCAAAATATTTCCTAACGGCAGCAATGATGGAGAAGTCCTGTGTATATGTCAATAAAGCACTGTTGGCCAATAGGGAAGCAAGATAGGTGGGACTAGGAGTCCAGGAGGACTCTGGGTAGGAGAAACACAGGAAGTCAGGATGTAACTGCCATAGGGGTAAGAAGCCCGGAAGCTTTTCTCTGGCAAGAGAAATACTTAGATTAACAATTATGGGATAAATACTTAAGTCAGAGCTAGCCAGTAAGAAACAAGCAAGGCCAACAGCTTCATAAATTTTTTTTTTTTGGTTTTTTGAGACAGAGTTTCTCTGTATTGTTTTGGAGGCTATCGGTCCAGCCCGGCCTCGAACTCACAGAGATCCGCCTGCCTCTGCCTCCCGAGTGCTGGGATTAAAGGCGTGTGCCACCACCGCCCGGCGCCAACAGCTTCATAATTAATACAGCGTCTTGTGTGTCATTTGGGGACTACAATGCGGCAGAGCCCAGGTGACTGGTGTGGAAAAAACTAAAGCGACTGGCAAGGAAAAGACTTCTCTCAACACAGCAGAGTCCACTCTCTAGAATAAGACGTGGGGGCAGACATCCTGCAATCAGCTGGGAAATGTGGAAGGCACCAGACACTGGCTGGGCTCTGCCTGCTGTTCAGTCCTGGCCATCAGTTCTTACCATCCCAGGCCCACATGGGTTCAGGGCAGTGCCCAGGCTAGTACAGCCGAGGGACTCCATGAGCAGTGGCCACAGACAGGGCCTGGGCAGATCAGTTCTGAAGGGCAAAAGTCCTTCATCCACACAGGAACTTGCTTGCCATCTACATGGTGTGTTCTAGGCAACACGGAGGCAGAGCCTGGTCTCACAGCCTTGGGTGTTGATTCTCTGAAAGATGTTTCCATTTCCAGACACTCAAGACAGACAAAGGAGAGTTGCTTGGATGAATGCGTGCTATGATCAGGTTGGAGGGGAGGGGATTCCAGCCAGCTACACTGCAGGATGGCTTAACACCAGGTACCCATGAGTTCTTCCAGGAACAACCAGGAGGCTGCAACTACCTAGGAAGAAAAGGAGGAAGACCAGTTAATTGCCATTCACTGTGTCTGCTACAGGGCAAGCTTCCCACTTTGTCATGAAGTCTCAAGAGAGCCCTTACCAGATGCTAAAAAAAATACAGGCACTGTTCTCTTGGATCTCCTGACCTCAAGAACCCTGGGTCAGGCAGAATTCTATTCTTCATAAATTGCCAGGTCTCAAGCATTTTGTTATAGCAATGGAAAGTGAGTTAAGTCAAGAAATGGTAGAAAGGAGGATGGCTAACTGTTTGGTCCAATAACTTTCATTTTTCTGTAACTTAAGTACCATGTTGTTTATTGATGAGTAATAGTGATGAGTCTCAATTAATTCCTGTTAACTCAGTCCTGTGGGTTATCCTTTTCTTTGTTCCTGCCCTCTTGTGTGTGTGTGTGTGGTGTGTGTGTGTGTGTGTGTGTGTGCGCGGGCACGTGCGCGAGAACACAAACCAAAACTGCAATCATCTTCACCGGTTTTAAGTGTACAGTTCAGCAGTGCTGGTTGCATTTGTGTTGTTGTGAAACAGAGCTCTGAAACTTTCTCATCTTGCAAAACTGAAACTCTGTACTCATTAAACAATCCCCACCCTCTGCCCCAACTCCCAGGCTCCTGCGCCCACTAACCTGCTAGCTGTTTCTATGGTTCTGACTACTCTAGATCCTTCCTATGAGCTGGTTCATGCAGCGTTTGTCACTTTGTGTCCGTCTTGTTTAAATTAGCATAGTGTCCTCAGGGTCGTGTCTGTGTTGCAGAATGGGAAGAACTTTTCACCCCTTGTAAAAGACTGAGTCATACTCCACTGTGTACATGCCCTGTTCTTTATCTAGTCCTCTACTGGTGGACATTTGGGTTGCATCTGCCTTGTGAGTTGTTGTGTCTTGTTTTACATTTTGTCCATTACATATTGTATCAGGGAGACTGCACATGCCATGGTGGACACATGGCAATCCCAGGGCAACCCGTGGAAGTCCGTCCTCGCCTTCACCCTTGTGTGAAGCTCTTTTACCTGCTGGGCCATGTGGTCAGCTTATCCTGAGTGGTTCTGTAAGGAACACAGGTGCTACATACCTGCTTGACAGCTTTTTGGATATGCTCCCCACCCCCAGCAATGGGACTGCTGCTCACACAATATTCCAACTCCTGACTCTCTGAGGGGCTGTTTCTCATGTGACTGTACCACTTTGCACTCTCACTGGGGTCCCTGATTTCTCTATATCCCGACCAACACCTTTTAGCCTGTTTGATTGACAGTGGCCATCCTAATAGGTGTCTCACAGTCACTTTGACTGTTTTGGATTTGAGCATCTTTTCACATGCTTTTAGGCTGTTTGTGCCTTCTTTAGAGAAATAACTACTCGAGTCCTTTGGCCATTTCTCCCCAGTAGTTAATGCTTTTTATTTAGGACCTGCCGCTTGGAATGGTCGTATTCAAACACCTTGATGTTTTGCTGGGATGGCTTGAAGAACTCAGTATTGGGCATGCGGTCGTACTACATGAACAACTTGGTGTTACATAGCACAGGGGGACAAAAATGTGACCCCCGAAATGCTGCAGCACAGAGTAGAGCTGCTCCCTGGGTCTTGAGGTGGAGGAGCTATGTGAGGCAGAAGGGGTTTAGAGAACCCCACCTCCACCATGGGGGAAGAGGTATTCCAGAAGAGGGACTGCAGTACAGGGGGTGCCATGTGGGACAGCTGCCTTCAGACGACAAAGGCGTTACAGGGTGACTCGTGGTCAGCAAGCTGGCAGCTAAGGCGGTGTCGCTGGCCTTCGGGTCAGCCAGAGGTTTCAGATTAAAGGTCTGTATCCCTGTGATCAGGGATTAAAGACAGCTCAGCCTGGGCCAGTCCCTTTCGCCCTCGCATGGCCTTCCTGTTGAGAAAGGCGTGATGCTGTCGCTATTCAAGTTGCCACTCTGAAGCAGAAAGTGCCAGGTCACATATCTCTGGGCCACGAGATTCTTTATTGTCATGCAGCCCCACGGTCAGAAATGTTTCAAAAGCTGTGTCCTTGGGGACAAGGCCATTGCTAAATGCACGTCACTGGTCGCCATGTGCAGCAGGGTAGTAAGGGTATGGTCAGCATGTTGTTGAATCCCATGCCCTATGGTATCTGCATGAAGCTTTCCTCCCACATGTCCCTCGGGTCTTCCATGTTGGCTGTGCCCTCTTGGTGTCTGACGGGGGCAGGACCCCAAATGTCCGTGTCTCCATCTCTCCTCCACATACATCACTCCTGGTGGACATCTGTGTCATGCCGTCCATTGTGCTTCTTGTTGCAATTTAAAGATTTCTTCTTACATTTAACATGTGTGGAGGGTGGGCTCAGGCACATGCCTCAGCACCTGACCAGGACAAGAAACTTGCATTTACGGTTTATGGTTGGGATCTTATATTTGGACCTTTAATCCATTTAGAATTAACTTTTGATATGGAGAAAAAGTGAGGGCTCTACCGCATTCTTTAGCAAATGAAAAATGCACTTTTCTTATCTCCATTCATTGAAGAAGCTGTCTTTCTTTATTGAATGGATGTGCTTCTTTTGTGGGAGATTATTTGATTATTGTGCCAACTTGGCACAAGCTGGAATTTTCTGAAAGGAGGGAAACTTTGTCCGGTCCTCCCCAACAGGTAGAGCAGGGGAATGGCCTGTCCAGCTGGTATCTTCCCTGGGGCTGAGCAGGATGGTGAGTGTCAACGACTCAGACCCTCCCCCCATTAGTTACCAACTGATAGGGAGTCTGTTGAAGCAGGATCTTCATTTATTCCAACAGGCAGGAACTTATATAGGACTGAGGTAGGGGATGGGAATCTTAGGATAGGGTAAGGTGACATGAGGAGTAAGGGCCAATAGTATTCCACCAAGCAGGCAGGTAGCTAGGCAGGGGGCAGTCTTACATCAGGTCTGGCTGAGTCACCCCCACATGAGGTTACAGGTTAGATACAGGTTGCCAGACTCTAGCCAGACTCAGAAGGTTACACTGGGCCTCCCATCCGAGCCTTTCTTAGGCCCAACAAATCTTAATTGAGAAATGCCTCTATAAGATCCAGCTGTAAGGCATTTTCTTAATTAGTGATTGATGGGGAGGGCCCAGCCCATGGTGGGTGGACCACGCCCGGGCAGGTGGTCCTCAGTGGTAGAAGAAAGCAAACTGAGCATCCCGGAAGCAGCACCCTCCATGGCCTCTGCATCAGCTCCTGCCTCCAGGTTCCTGCCCTGTGTGAGTCCCTGTCCTGACTTCCTTGGATGATCAACGGCGATAGGGAAGCATAAGCCAAATGAACTCTTTCCTCTGCAGGTTTCTTTGGTCGTGGTGCCTCATCACTGCGGTAGCAGCCCTTACTGGGACAGTAGTGCATTGAATTTCTGCATAGGCCAATTTGGCTGGTACAGTCTTTCAGTACTGTTAACTCTTCTAATGCATGACCTTGGAATGCCATTTTACTTATTCATGCCTTCTTTTATTTCTCCTCGAAATCTTCTGTGGTTTTTAGCATGCAAGTCATTCCTCTCTTTGGTTAGGTTTTTTATTCCTAAGTATTTTATTTTTTCAATGCTACCCCCAACAGTATTTTTTAAAGAGTTTGGAAAGGATCTTTTCTGTTTTGGAGGCATGGGGTGAGGTGGAGTTGTCAAGGGAGAGAGTTGGGACTGGGTGTCATGCAGCCCAGACTGACCGCACATTTTGTAGCCCAGGATGACTTTAATCTCCAGATCTCCCTGTTTCTGCCTCCTAAATGCCAGGGTTATATGCGTATGCCACCATGCTGGCTGTTACCCAGTTCTTCCTGTCCCACATCTAAAGTCCATTAAAGAAAAACAACTGGCAGGCTCTATTCTTCACGCCGGAAGCTTCCCTTTGGAGTCAAGCCGCCTGGGGTACTGTCCAGTCTCTGTGGGTGAGTGGTGCTGAGGGGGTTGGGACGCCTCAGCGTGGGTGAGGGGTGCTGAGGGGGTTGGGACATGGCAGTTCTCTTCCCAGCTGTAGGTGAGTCTTACTCTTCGGAGGTCTGGGCAGCCTTCCTGCCTAAGTCCCTCTAAGTAATAAATGAATCTTTAAAAAATTGAAAAGTTGTAACTAAATGCTATTCTTTACACTCAAGTTTTTTCAAAACTATTTTGATAAAAAGCCATTGTTTATGTTAACATGGTGCTTATTAATTTAAAGGAATCAATCAATAACATCATTTAAAAAATTCTGACTTGCAGTTTCTACTAGGATAGAATTAGCCTACCAAATGGGTTTTTAGAGTCCTTACGAGGATCTACCTGACTACCTGTATGAGAGGTCATGAGACCAGTGTGTTTGAGGGTTGCTTTCCCTAAGAAGGCTGCTGTGCTCATGGTGGCTTTGAAGTCCTGCTGTCCTTCACGCCTTTGTGTCCTTCCTGCTGACTTCATAGCAGCATGCCACATGGGGGCAGCAGATCCCGCTGTGAGCCACATAGGCTTTCACCGGGGTGTGTGTGTGTGTGTGTGTGTGTGTGTGTGTGTGTGTGTGTGTGTGTGTGTGTGATTAAGTCAGTCTGCTGCCTCCAGCCTCTTTCCGTATCTGGCCCAGGCACTGGACAAAGTCATGATCTAGGTGGGAGACTTAGCCCTGTTTTCCCATCCATATGCTTGGAGGAAGCGTTGGAATATTAGTCTACGCTTAGACAAGAGTCTGGCCACTTTGCTGGAGATATTTGGGGAGACCACATTAGCTCAGTGTGACAGAGTGGGTCACAGACAGTTTCCAGTCTCAGCTTTGACATGGAAGTGTTGGTTCTTGTGGGAATAGCCTTCTGGGAGAGCACCCTGAACCACTCAGTGGTTAATAGCGTACAGTTACGTGCTGGTCTAGCAAATTTCCCATCACTGTGACAGTACCTGAGATCAACAACTTAGTGGGAGAACTGTGGTTTCAGGGGCTTTGGTCTGTGGCGGCTTTGTTGCTATGGGGTTTGTGACAGTCAGTACATCGTAGCAGGAACTTGGGTACTAATGGGAGAACCCTATTCACTTTATGGTCACCAGCAACATGCCTCACCTTCCAGATTAGAATAGGCAGGCCACTACCATGCTATGAAGTGACGCATTTGAGCAGAAGAGTCTGCAGTCTGGAAGTTGGTAGCAAACAGATTCATCCAGAAAGAATCTTGACCCATGGTTCTCAACCTGCAGGTTGCGACCCCTTTGGAGGTTGAATGGCCCTTTCACAGGGGAGGCTTAACAGACACCCTGCTATCAGATATTTATATTATGATTCGTAAAAGTAGCAAAATTACAGTTCTGAAACAGTAACAATAATTTTGTGGTTGGGGAGGGGTCACCACCACGTGAGGAACTGGATTCAGGGGTCACAGCATTAGGAAAGTGGACCTTTACACCTAGGCACAGGTGAAATTTTACCCACAACCGGTGCCTCATGTTGGCATCAGAGCAAGCCATGGGAATCTCTATCAATGGAAAGCAAGGCTGTCGGCTACTAAATGCAGTCTTTTAGCTTCCCCTTAGACTTCTCCAAACATCCTTAAAGCAACCCGCTGAGCTGGCTTAAATGTGGGCCATTAAAAAATAAAGTCACCAGATAAGGGTCCGCGTTGCTGGGGTCCACGCTTTTCTCCATGCTGTTGTTCTAGCTCTCAGATGTTTCTCCCTCCCCTCTAGGCAGTCATTGTCTGGTTCTGTCAACCCATTGATACTACAAATCACTAGCCAATGTAGGCCTGGCGACCAAGATAATCTAGGCTCTGAAGGTCAAGGCAAGGTTATGGTCCTGCTCCTACCAGGTGGAAACTGCAGTCTTGGGCAAGGCGCCTGACTTCTCTGAGTCTCTGTTTCCTCCACTGCCAGAGGCAGTAATAATATCATTGAGTTGGGAGAATCACATAGCATAAGGCATCTCGGAGATCAAGTCAGCGCTTGGATGGTAGCAAGTGCTTCACACAGGCTATGCCCAGCGCGGCATTTGAAACGCACTTCTATTTTGAGACTGGGTTTCATGTAGTCAGTCTAGTCTGGCCTTGACCTTGTCGCATAGCTGACGATGACTTTGAATTCTTACTTTTCTGCCTTCGCCCACTGAGTGCTAGGATTGCAGGTGAGGACCATCACACCCATTTGTAAGCAGTGGAGGGACTGAATCCAGGACTGTTGAGCACGCCAGGCAAGCATTTTACCAACATATGTCTCCAGCCCCGTGCTTAGACGTTTTGAAGGATGTACTGTTTTTACGTATTACCACTATGTTGTACAAAAGCTGTCTTGTGCTAGTTCCTCCTGTGGACTTTGGATCCTTTGCCCCCCCCCCCCATCTTAGCCCCTGCTAACTAACCCTCTGCTTTCTGCCTGCCTTAATCCAACCTGTTTAGATTCCACACATAAGCAAGGTCATCTGGTATTTGTCTTTCTGTGCCTGGCTCACTTAATTCAATGTCTCCCAGGTTTAGCTATGTTATAGAGAATCACAAAGATTTCCTTCTTATTAAGGTTATATTATTTTAGGGCATCCCATTATATGTCTGTGTCATATTTATTCACCCAGTCATCCACTGATGGGCACTTAGGTTGTGTGCATTTCTTGACTGTTGGGAACAGGTTTTGAAGGACATGAAAGAGTTTTAGAGAGACAATGCATCTTCTTTGGATATATTCTCTGTAGGGGGATTTTTGGATCACACCGTAGTTCTTTTTCGTTGGTGCTATTTCATAAGCACTTTTGTATGTGTTTGTATGTGATCCTTAGGTGTGAGTGTGGGTACAAATCATGGTGTACATATGGAGGTCGGACAACAATCCTGGTAGCAAGGGCCTTCCACCTCGTATGAGAGAGAGTCTCGGCTGTTCGCTGTGTGCATGCTAACTGGTCCGTGAGCTCCCAGGGATGCTCCTGTCCCCGCCTTCCACTCGTGTGAGAGAGTCTCGGCTGTTCGCTGTGTGCATGCTAACTGCTCCGTGAGCTCCCAGGATGCTCCTGTCCCTGCCTTCCACTCGTGTGAGAGAGTCTCGGCTGTTCGCTGTGTGCATGCTAACTGCTCCGTGAGCTCCCAGGATGCTCCTGTCCCCGCCTTCCACTCGTGTGAGAGAGTCTCGGCTGTTCGCTGTGTGCATGCTAACTGGTCCGTGAGCTCCCAGGATGCTCCTGTCCCCGCCTTCCACTCGTGTGAGAGAGTCTCGGCTGCTCGCTGTGTGCATGCTAACTGGTCCGTGAGCTCCCAGGATGCTCCTGTCCCGCCTTCTGTCACACCTTACGATTACAGTCATGGGCTGTACTCTGCTTTATATAGGCTCTGGGCTTTGAACTTGGGTCCTCACACTCGCATGGCACATGCTTTTACCCACTGAGCCCTCTCTCCCCAACCCATCATAAATATTGTGTCATTAAACATTCTACAGAAGTAACTTCAAAGGCTGCATTGTAATTTATTATATTGACGATTAGCAATTTTCATAACCATCTCTTTACTTTTAGGCTAACCCTTTTGCTCTTATGAATAAATACATAACCAACTTCTTTTTATGAAAAACAACTTTAGTCATATTTTGGGGGGTCCCTGCAAATGCTACAGCTGGCAGAGGAACTATCCATGAGGGACAAGGAGGAAATCGAGTTCAGCATTTCTCAGTTAGCAGGTGGCTCACACTTCCAGAGTCTGGCACCAGGCGGTTTATTTTAGCCATGTTTAAGCACAGCACTACGTTGGAAAAATGTTTCCTGGTGATAACAGCTCAGTCCCGCGTACACAATAAAGCTTAAGGCATGTTTACATTGAGACTCTTTACAAAATACGTATGACTTCTTTCATAAAGATGGGTACCTTGACTCAGAAACAGTGCTCAGGGTAAGGGTCTATGCAGAGTGGCTGAGGTAAACACAATGACTGTGGGAGTCAGGACTGGCCTGGCCCTAAGGTGACACAGAAGTCACTTGGGCTGTTGTGAAGCATGGTTTCATCTCTCGTAAGGATGGGTTTATGGTCTGAGAAGCAATGCTCATGATCTAGGAAGGGAGAGTCTGGGATAAACAAACATAATAATAATCTGGGCGATTCGGGTGAAGCCTACAGATAGCAAAAGATCACCAGGTTGTAAACCACATCCATCCCCAGCAATCCTAAAGAAGACAGGTAGATATATCCTTCCCTTGAAGAGACAAGCACATGTGTTTAAATTTCCTGCTTTCCCTAGTGCTTATCTGTGTGCATAAGGGCCTGTATCCTTTACAATACTTTAATTATTTGCTTGGGATAAGCATAGTAAGAATATGGATATTGTTAAAGCTAACTCTTTTAAAAGGAGGGCACAAAGGCCATCTGGCTGACGTTCTGGCTCTTAGCAGTCAGTTTTCACCTTTCCCAACACTCAAGTCCACTCATTTAACCATCTCTTTAGTGCACTCCTGTGTTAATGTCTACTTCACCAGTGAATACTTTTCAGATTCAGATTTTGTAGTCTTTTTGACAATCAAGATGACAGTGCAGGCCTCTTCAGCCCTCTAGCGCATTTCTACCCACTGAGATTTCTTCCAGGGAATGTTACCTTACTCTGACCTCACTCAGTATCCTTGGATATCCAGGTCATACTAAGGTCTTCTGGACAGCAAAGGGCTTTCTTGTAATCTCTTCAGAACCAAAAATTGTCCTTTAACTTTATTCCCTGGTTATCATTTCCTTCTCCTTAATTAAGGAGACTAAAGGGGTCTGCAGGAGACTGTTAGCTACCGCATAAATTAGTGTGTTCTTCTGCTATGTGGAGACACATATAGTTGGCATTTCGCAGCCTGGACGTGGCCGTGTAATTGCATTTCTGGTGGAGCAATGGCAAATGAGGTGAACACCACTACCAGGTGTGGCCATTGAACCCCTTGTGGAATAGTATAGAATAGAGGAGATGCCCAGGACAGCCCCGGAAGTCACAAGTGAAGTCACAAGTGACCATGCCAGACCCTTTCTCAGCCAGACCGGAAGAAGAACACCTTGCTGACCATCCAACTCAGGGGTGTGGATTTGGTGTGATTTCCCCTCAGAGGGTTTTGTACTAGAAACTCGTCCCTTGATGGTGATATGGAAAGGCTATGGGATCTTTAGCAGACAGAGCAGGTAATTAGGTCATTGAGGGCCCCATCTACAGGAAAGAAGAGTACTCATCTTATGGAGTACATTAGTTCTCCCAAGAATGAGTTGTTATGAAAGAAGCCCCGCCTGCTCCCTCATCCGTTGGGCTTCCTACTTTGCATTGCACGTGGCCACTTTTGTAGGGAATGCCATCGTGATGTCATTCACCATGAGGCCATCACTGGAGACTGAATTAATAGGCCATTCAGCCTTGGGCTCTTAGATTCTAGAACTGTGGGCTAGATAAACATCTCTTCTTTGTGGAATGTGTCTTTGGCCCTTTTGCTAATAGGAACAAAAAGGGACTAGGACATCACATGCTTTTGTATTTGATGATGGAACTATTTTTCTCTGATTGCAGAGAAGGATCACCTGTGATTTACAGCCACACTTGGTTCTGTGTGAACCATACTTCCTTTTATCTTGACTCACAAGATTAGCTGTGCACCCCACTTCCTCCAAGTTTCCAGACATTTCCCTTCCTTACCAATTCTTGGGGCAGCATCAGAGCGCTGCAGGCTCTTATGTGATGTGGCCTCTCACTTTCACCTTCCCAACACATTGCCCTGGTGGTGAGAACTGAGCCCAAGGAAGCATGTCTCTCCATTGTCTCCTCTGTTTTCTGAGACGTGGAGTTGTCATTTTGCAAGAATTTAGTAGAAAACACGTATAAAGAATGTGGTTGAATCTGAATAGTTGAGTTTGGCAGAAGAGTGGTAGAGGAATAATTGGATCCACAGAACAAAGTGAGAAATTTGGAGTTCTGGAGACATTTAAAGGGGTTGTGCTACAGAGGAGAGACTGGAAGAAGAGAGTAAGCAAGGCTGCTTCTTGATGGGAACCATTGTACAAAGTATCTGCATAGGATAGGATAAGGAACGTAGCAGAGCAGTCTAGACCCCCGTGCCCTTTGGAAGGGACCAGCACAGCCCTGGATAGGGGTAGCGCACAGTAAGATGGTCGCATGCCAGTTCAGCAGATTCAGGGCTCAGAGCCAGGGGCAATGATGATCGAAGGCTATTCCCTTCTTTTGCCTTGGCCTGCCTCCAGGAACTGACTGGCCTTTGGAAGACTTTAGACATCTGCTGGGAGTTTGAACCATTTTTTTTTAGAAGGCTTCAGTTGGCACACAATGTATCACACACACACACACACACACATTCACTGGTAAAAGAATACTGCATCTCTTGTCAAATAAGTTAACAGTGGCATAAACAGGCTCCTTAAAACATTCTGAGGTCAAGAGAGTCTCACGGTGTACCTCAGGATGCAGTATGAATACCAGGCTGAGCTCTGTCCCCAGCCTCTCTGACTCCGAGGTCCTTGCCTGGGATGAGGGAACAGCTGCTCTGGTGGAGGCCAGGGTGGTTCCTCACCCACTGTCCTCTATTACCAGGCATTCAGAGCCGCCCCTCCCTGCGGTTCCACAGTGCCCTGTGGGTACATCAGTGACTGATTCTGTCAACGCTCTGAGGTCACAGGAATGTTTGTGGGAGACGGATTTTGCACAGTAAGGGGAAACATGGGAGACACGAGTTCGTTAAGAAGTTCTTCTGTTGTCATAAAGATGCATTAACAGACAATATGTTAATACAAAAAGCATGTTGTTTATCTAGTGTTAGGAGGTTTTCTTCTTTCTCAACAAAGATTTAAACTCCAAACCAGAATAAATGAACAAAAACGTGGTAAGAGTGGATCAGCCATGCAGCCATGGCAGGGGCCAGGTGGGCTTGCCTGGATCTCTGTCTCCTTTCTTCAAGATCCGGAGTTCTGCCCTGTTGCTGCACTGACCAGGGCAGGAGGTTTCCTGAGTGCAAAGCACCAACATGCCAACTCTGAGACAAAACGTCGTAAATAGACCTAGAGCCTGATCCAGAGCCAGGCTCAGTGTCCTTGGGCCGGTTGTCCTCACGGACCAGGTCCCAGGTGGGGGTGGGGTGAGCAACTGCTGTGGAAATTTCCATGAGCTGTCCACCAGCTCTGGGAAGCTCTGGTGCTCCACATGGCATGGGGAGGACATGGGTTATGAAAGAGGCACAAGACATGGTCCCAGCTCATAAGGAGCAAGGCCCATCGGAGAGAGGACTTGAGAATGCTTGCCAAGAAAGCAAGGGACAAACAGGTTGCAAAACCTTAAACCACAATTGTCAATAAGGTCAAGGCATGGAGCCATCACAAAAGAGTCATTGTCACCTTCCGTGGAACAGAACTCCATTCCACTTCCTACAGAAAATACTGGAAATACAAACTGAATATTAAGGGTATTTTCCTCTTTTATAAAATTCAGGCCCTGTGAGTGTGTGTGTGTGTGAGTGAGTGATGTGTAAAACCACCAACCTTGCCATGATGTTGTATTCCTGCTGTAGTCTGTTGAGTTTTGACTCCAGTGTGGCACCTTTAGGAGATGGGGCCTAGTGGGAATCCCTTAGTTCATTGGAAGAGCTGCCTTCAGGAGGGACTAATGTAACTCCCATGAGACACTAAGATTTCTTGAGAATGGGTTGTTTTGAGCCTGGCCATTTTCTCCCCGGTTTTCTATTTGGACAATATACATGTTGGTTTTTGTCAACTTGACACATACCTAGACTTATTTGGGAAGAGGGAATATTAACTGAGAAAATGCCTCCATGAGATTGGCCTGTATGCAAGTCTGTTGGGGTCTTGTTCTGATCAATAATTGATGTAGGAGGGTCCAGTCCACTCTGGGTGATGCCATTCCTGGGCAAGTGGTCCAGCCTTGCATGAGAAGGCAGGCTGAACGAGCCATGGGGAGCAAGCCAGTAAGCAGCACGCTCCTCCATAGTCTCTGCTTCAGTTCCTGCCTCTAGTTTGCTGCCTGGAGTTCCTGTCCTGGCGTCTTTCAAGTTTGGGCTGTGATTAGGAAATGAGAACCTAATAAATCACTTTTGGTCATGGTGTTTAGCACAGCAATAGAAACTTAAGATAGACATGGTCTCTTTGTCTGATTTGGTTTCACCAAGGTGATATCTTCTATTAGACCATCACCGAACCAATGGGGCTACCAAATCTTAACTAAAACTATACAATTTTCAACACACTATTTACTCACCATGAACAGGATTTGTGAGTTCTCATGGCTGAAAAGTTAAATGCCTAGGTTAGGCTCCTCATATATTCTAAGTAGTGTGTCACCTCTATTTCTTTCTGTGTCTTCCATCCTTAAAGACTTGGTGGGTGGATGCCTTTTCGGGCTGGCTAATTGGTAATTGCCAGGTAGCTCCAAACAGCAACTAGAGCTATAATAACTACTCTGGGGGAGAGGCACGCTCTAGCTTCCACTGAGTAGAAATCTTGAGCTTTGCACTAACTGAACCAGTCATAGTGGGGCTGCCACATGCGGACTGGTTGAGGTTTAAACACCCATCATCTCAGCAAGACTTTGGAACTGTCTTCCACTGTGGAAGACGACCCCAGGAGCCACCAGTTAGACTGACCATGGCTACAGATGGAGTAGAGATCTTAGATATTCCCAATATGGACCACACCTTGATAGTAATTAAAGGGATACTTCCTAGGTACAAGGCACTATAGGGAACATAAAGACATGTCATTTCTAGTCTACTAGGTGCAAAAGGACACGTTGAAAACTACTCACACAATGATGCCAGGTACAATGTGAGAAGGAGCCAGTAAATGCTGCAACAAAGTACCGTGACACCAGACTCTCGGCGTCACTGATGAAGAGGTTTTAAGCAAATAACATTGGAATTAGGTCCTAGAGAATGAGTAGTGTAAGGACTCAGGCATTAAGCTGACCCCGCCCCCCTGTCAACTGGCAGGATATGCACACCGGCATTCAGACAGATACTTAGGCAGCTCAAAGGGCCCTGTGTTGCGTGGCTGCGTAGGGACTCTGGCACGTGCAAGCATTCCCTTTTGGCGAATGCCTCCCACCTGTTTGCCCGCTCCATCTCTGTTCCCGGTTGGCCAATACCTATCCCTCCCTTTGTTCCCTTTACCCACAGGAATTTCGTTGAGTGGGTTTTATTGGGTTTTGTTGAGTTTTGTGGCTCGTGTTTCCTCGCTTGCAGCTGCAGCTAACATCAGTGAGCAGGTCTATGATTGTAAGTGAGCAGGAAGGATGGGTTGGGCCTCAGGAGCAAAGTGGCATTCCCAGTTAGTGGGAGCACAAGTTTAGAAAAGTTCTGCTGAAGCAAGTGATGCTACCCTAAGGGTAACCCAAGTGACCAGGATGACTCAAGTCAAGGTGAAGGTGCCTGACCAGTAGGAAGCACAGATAGGAATCCTACAGAATCTAGGTAGGAACAGGGACAGGCTGTCCCTTGCAGGTAGAGGCCACTGGTCCCACCAGTCTGGTGTTGGTGTGAGCCCTCAGAGGGCTCCATGGCTCTTCAGGGAGGGCTGGGCTAACTCTGGTCACTTAGAACTCGGTCAAGAGTGTTGCTCATTGCAGGTCAGCTTACCATCTCAGCTCTGCACTCTCTCGGTGGGCCTTCAACTGCTCAGTGGTGGCAGCCCCAGGGACTGTGGTAAGATGGGGTACCCTCCTGGGAGCAGCACCCCTGCCCCTCTCTCTGAGAGTTCTAAGTGACCCCAGCATGAGGAGTCAAGGGGTTTCCTCACCTCCAGCAATAAGACAGCTTGCTCCCCTTCTGTAGACACCCTTCATGTGTCTTGCTTGGCCCCCAGTATTCCCAGAGGGACTGAGGTGGAGGCAACTACACTATCTGAGGTGCTTCATCACGACCAGAACCCCTGTCTGACACCTCTCTCACTGGTGCAAGGAGAGAAAAGGTCTAGAGATGGGGGAACACTCTGTTCTGCCCAGGCTTGTGAGCCATGCCTTCGCCAGGATCACTGACATCATCTGAGGAAGCTGGGCAGCCCTGTGATCCTGTCCAACAGTCACATTCAGTTTTAGCCTCCTCGTCCTTAGCAAAAACAACGTCTTTGGTCAATCCTCAGCTATAAGTTGAAATCCTCTCTGTAGTCCGTGGGACCTGTCTTGAATTTCACTGCCAGACTTTTACGCTCTCCTGCTCAGCCTCCCTTCTGTAAGCCGGCTGTGCTGCTCTTGGGCAGGTGTCTACGAATTTGGCTCTGTCCCTAGTGTCCAGCCTCTAACATGTTTGCTGATTGTCTAGTTTGCAACTTGGGGCCCAAATCTGGAAATGGTTCCAAAACTTGTGCTAAATTTTGTGAATTTAAGACAAACAAAACACTTTTTACATAGTACCAGCTGAAGGAGAACAAAGCAAGTATGTGTCCAGTGACTGGGGTGCCTCCCCCAATGAGAGAGTTCAAAGGCATGACACTGAATCATAGATTCCTTTCAAGCCGATCACTACTTCCTAAATCGTGTCATAATCAGTTATTTTTCCCCAAATGACTCCAACATAGAACAGCTCCTGGGGTGAGGTGGAGGAGAGGGCTGGAGAGAGGGACAGAAGGGGCTGTTTGGAAAGACAAACTACTTCCTCCTCCTCCTTTTTCCTTCTCTTCTATTGTTAATGTTATTTTGCCTAGGACTGTAACTCAGTGACGATGTGTTGCCTGGTATACACAAAGCCTTCAGTTCCATCACCAGCACCAAAAAGAAAACAGAAAAAACCCTCAAATGTGAGGACATGCTCAGACCCTTCCACCAGGTAGGATCTTCTCCTCCTTATAGCTCGTAAGGCCAGCAGTTCTCAACCTGGAAGTTATAGCCCTCTTGGGGTCAAACCATTCATTCACAGGCATTCACAGGGGTCACATATCAGATTTCGTGCATATCAGATACTTACATTATGGTTGGTAACAGTAGCAACATTACAGTTATGAAGTAGTAACAAAACTAATCTCATGGTGTGGGGAGGGGGTCAGCACAACATGAGGAACTGGATTAAAGGGCCACAGAATTAGGGAGGTTGAGAACCACTGCTTTCCCAGGAGACTGACCGCCTCACCATGCCACTCCCAGGAGAGCCTCTCCTTTCTTCTCCCAGGCCTTCCCAAGACCCAACCCGTCTTCACCAGAACTTTCTGAAGATTGTGCCGCTGACCAGTCCAGGGGACCACCCTGTCAAATGCTGCCCTCATCCTCATTCAGAGAAATTTCTTTTCATTGACCGTCGGTGAATGCTGAGGCTTGTGGCTACACAACATGTGGAGAATAAATGGTGGTTAGTGCTTAGCCCTAAAAAAGACATGTGTGCCTTCCACTAGAAGGTTCAGGGAACAGTGCAGAGAGGGGGTTGGAAAGAATCTAAGAGCTGGAAGATAGGAAGCAGACTTGAGAAAGGCCATCTTCTAGGCAAGACATAACTGCTGCAGTCATGAACTCACACCATCTATGCATGCCTGCACTGAAATCATGAACTCACAGCATCTATGCATGCCTGCCCTGCAATCATGAACTCACGGCATCTATGCATGCCTGCAATGTTTCTGCAGAAGTACTGGCTGGTCAGCAGACAGGCATGGGTGGGAAGGAGAGGTTCAGGGGACCCACTCTCACTACTGAACAGATACAGATAGAAGCAGAAAGGCAGGGAGCCATTGCCTTTAGCTGTGTGCCATTGGACAGATCCATTCTTCACACAGAAGACCTTGGTTAAATTAAATGGGTCACAAAATAAAATCAGAAGCCATGAATCTTGAAGAGGGACAGGAAGGGAAAGGGAAGGGTTAATAGGGATGGGAGGGAGGGGCTGTCGGGTGAGGAAGCAATCAGACTACATCTTATACAGTATGAAATTGTCAAAGAACAAACACAGAAAAAGCCCTTCAACTTCATGTTCAAGAAGCAAGGACTAACAACGTATGGGAATATCATTTTAAAAATTAGTTATTAAATTTAAGTTGGTAGGTGGTGGTGCATGCCTTTAGTTCCAGCACTCAGGAGGCAGAGGCAAGCAGAGCTCTGTGAGTTCAAAGACAGCCTAGTCTAGAGAGTGAGTTCCAGGAAAGCCAGAGCTACACAGAAAAACCTTGAAAAACCAAACTAAAATAAAATAAAGTTTGTGATCATGATTCTATTGAAAATTATTATATTAATACTAGAAAGCTAAATGTCAGTATTTTACTTTGTCTCCTTTCACTAATGAATTAATAAAACTCAAAATTACTAAGAAGGCAAAAGGAAATAACCAAAATCAAACTTATTTTGACTAGGGTGTTGGTGGTTACATATTTCATTTGTAAGAATCTATGAGCTGGCTGATATGGTGGCCCAAACCTTTAATCACAGTACTCTTTGTCAGCAGCGGCAGGTTGATCTTTGTATGTCTCAGGCCAACCAGGGCTGCAAGAGAGAGATCTGGTCTTTAAAAAAAAAAGACATAGACTTAGTATATGTGCATTTTGCTAAATACACATTATATTTCAACTTAAATGTGGAATAACTAAGCCAAAGATGATGACAGCCTTGGCTAACGTTTATGCGATGCCGTTGTGCTGAAAAGAAACAGACCCACCAGAAAAGAGCAGCAGCCTCTCGAGGAGGCCGACGCACGTCCCAAGCACAGGCAAAGCTAATGCGGAGAAAAGCAGCAGTTTGTTAGGACCGGGCTGAGCTGGGATGTTTCCAGTTGCAGGGAGCAGAGTGGGAGACTCTCCTGTAGAGTGCTTTATGATTCCTAGTTGCGCAGCCAGCTAATTCCAGTAATTAGTCTTGCCTCAGTTCAGTGGGGTTGGGATTTCCTCAGTTGCTCTCTTAAGCCTGGAGTTTGGAAAGTGTGATGACTTCAGATTGTGGCCTGCAATGGTTTGCCTAGTATTCACAAGGCCCGAGTTCCACCCCAGCACACCAAATGCATGTACGAAATTGTATTTTACTTTAAAATAACTCCTGCCCTCCAGATAGGATCTGCTTGCTTTGTGTTTTTACCTCTAAGAGTTGGGGGATTGACAAATAATCCTGGAGTTGGTGACCCATGGTCCTCAGACCCCAAGGACAGCAGGAGCACTGTGGGCCCTGCCCTGGCCTACCTCAGGATGCCACTAATCCATTCCACTTAGATCCAGGTTAGTCAGTTTGAAAACGTGTACATACTGCAGAGCAAAGCACTGTTTATGAAAGCAGAAGAGTAAAAGCCATCGGCAGGACAAGGAGACTGCTAAGAAAATCCTTGTTTTGGGATGGAGACATGGCTTAAGTGGTTAAGAGCACTGGCTGCTCTTCTAGAGAACCCAGGTTCAATCCCCAGCACCCACATGGCAGCTCACAACTGTCTGTAATTCCAGTTCCATGTCTTACACAGACATGTATACAAGTAAAATATCAATGCATACAAAACAAAAAGCAAAAAAATCTTAAAAAAATAAACAAGGAAAAGAAATAGAAGTCTAACATATAAATAAACAAATCATGGTTCATCCATATACTGTAACCCTGAGAAAAAGACTAAAGACACCCTATACACTGATTGGACAAGGTTTAAAGCTATTATTATTATTTTAAAATTTATTTTAAAATTTTTACTTGTGTGTACATATAAGTGTCTGTGTGTATTTCCCATGTGTGCAGGTGCCAGGGAAGTCAGAAGAGGGCATTGGGTCCCCCGGCGCTGGAGTTACAGGCAGTTGTGAGACACCTGACAAGGGTGCTGGGAACCAAACTTAGGTCCTGGAAATAGCAAGTGTTGATAACCATGGAGCCATCTCTGCAAATCCTTACTTTTTAAAAGTGTGCGTATGTGTATGTGTGTGCACATGCATGTATAAACATACATGCTCATGGAGACAAAGGCATTGACCGCTCCCAGAACTGGGGTCACAGGTGGTTGTAAGCCACTCAATGTGGGTTCTGAGAACTGAACTTGAGGTCTCTTGCAAGAGTGGTGGAAACTTCTCAACTACTGAGCCATTTCTCCCGGACCTAAAACTATTACTTAAAATTAAAAAAAGATTTATGCCTATGGTTTATTTTTACCTGAATGTATGTGAACCACATGAACACCTGATACCCATGTTAGTCAGAGCACACAGATCCCCTGAAAGTGGAGTTTAGGACGATTGTGGGCCCCATTTGGTGCTGGGAACCAAGTCTAGGTCCTCTGCAAGAGCATCAAGTGCTAACCACTGAGCCGTCTCTCCAGCTCCTAAAGCTGTTACTTTTAAATGAAAAAAAAAAAAAACAGAATAAAGGCTGGGCATGGTGGCGCAAACCTTTAATCCCGGCACTTGGCAGTTGGATCTCTAAGTCGAGGCCAGCCTGGTCTATAGAATGAGTTCTAGGACAATCAGGGCTACACAGAGAAATCTTCTCTAAAACAACAACAACAACAACAACAAAAGTTGACTAGAGCACTATGTCTGTCTGTGCAATAAGTTTGTTGAGTGTTGTTTTGTCTTTACTTATGCATTTGAAGTCCTTTAGAGAAGGAACAAGAGACCTGAAGTAGTGGTAACATTTGTGTAGGAGGTTGCCGGTATGAGCGAGAACTTGGGAAGCAGCTCAGGGGATAGGGGCACTTCTCACAGCAAGTGACTTTTGTTTAGTTGTTGTTTTATTTTGTCTTTGATCCATTGCCCGTGAGTATTTCATGTTGGGAATTATAGGCATGCACCACCAAACCTGGCCACAATAAATATTTAAAAGTAAATTGTTTATAAATTAAGTGAGTATGTTACCTAATGAAGGAGTAAGATACATTTATCAAAAAGTTCAAAATTTTTTAATAAATAAGGCAAGTTTTAGGGCAGAAGGGAGTTCTGTGATTATTTCATCCAGCATTCTCAGGCAGTTTGTATTGGTCAAGGTATACTGAAAATTTTAATTTATTTTTTCTCCAGTAATAGAATCTTGTTCATTTTGTATTGCAGAGGCTAGGATTCAGGGCCTTGTACATGACAGGCAAGCGCTGGGCCATGGAGGCAGACCCCAGTCCTGGAATCTGTTTTAATTCCTGCTGGATTAAGTGAGTCAAGGAGTTATTAAATGACCGTTGTTCCTGTTATACAGATCCCCTGAGAGCTCCGGGGCCCTGGAGAACAGGTGCCCTGGCCGTGACTCAGGCAGTGACTCAGGCCACACTGGGCTGCTGGTCTCTCGGAAAAAGTCCTCCCGGGCTAGTGCTGGTTTTGAGCATGAGGCAGACTTGTTTATAATTTTAGCTGCATGTTGACATGGCAGAAAGCCCAGGAATCTAAGGGAACCCTGATTCTGAGCAGGACTAGGCAATGTGGAGCCTGACATTTATGACTTGGCAAATGTACCACAAGACTTTTTTCTCCAGGTCTGGAAGTTAAAGAGAAGGTTGCTGGTTGTACCCAGTAAGTGGGAATTGACTTACCAAGTATTATAAGGTAGGACTTTACTTTGACTTATTGATACAAATTAAGGCCCATCAGTGGTGGCATAAGTCTTTAATCCCAGCACTCAGGAGGCAGGAGGCAGAAGCAGGTAGATCTCTGTGAGTTCAAGGCCAGCCTGGTCTACAGAGCTAGTTCCAGGACAGCCAACACAACACAGAAAAATTCTGTCTCAACTCCCCCCCCCCCCAAAAAGATGAAATCACTAAATAAATGAGTTGAAAACAAACAAAAACAACAAATGCAAATAAGTAAATGAAGGATGACAAAACCCCTTATCAGCTGTATCTAGGGAGCAGTGACATTGAGATAATGGAAAAGTTCTTGAGGTATGATAGCCAAGAAATTAGAGAAATTGCAGAAATATTAGACCTTTTTAAATCTAATTTTTTCTTTTTTTAATTACTTTAATTTTAAATAGCTTGCTTCACATGTCAATCCCAGTTTCCTCTCCCTCCCCTCCTCCCGCACCCCCCAACATCCCCCCCCAGCCTCCCACCCTATCCCCACTTCCTTCCACATAGGGGATATCCAGAGTCTGTCATTTCGCTCAGGGCAGGGTCCAGGCACTCCCCTAAGAGTCCAGGCTGAGAGATCATCCCTCTTTGTGTTATGAACACACGATGTCTGTTTGTATGCCAGGGATAAACACTGATTTACTGCCCAGGGCCCCATAGGTTGCCCAGGCCTCCTCACTGACTCTCATACTCAGGGGTCTGGATCAATCCCATGCTGGCCTCCCAGCTGTTGGTCTGGGGTCCGAGAGCTCCCCCTTGTTCAGATCAGCTGTCTCTGCTGGTTTTGCCAGCCCATTCTTTGCCAATTTGCTCATTGCTCCTCTCTCTCTGTCACTGGGTTCCATGGTTTCAGTTCACCAGTGAGACCTCTAGTGATCAAAGGGATGACACCAACTGGCAAGCTAAGCAATAGTGGAGAGACCACCTTAAATGCCCATTCCTGATAATGAACTTGACGTCTACACTATATGCCATCCTAGAAACTTCATCCAGTGGCTGATGGAAGCAGAGGCAAACACCCACAGTTAAACACTGAACTCAATCTAATTTTTTCATTTCAATGTCGACATATAAAAAGAAGTTTTGCAAAATCTGGATAGTAATGCAGTATCTTCTTGAATACATGATATGATATGAATTAGATGGCTGGCTTATCACCATTAAGTATAATTACATTAACATAATCTACATAACAGGCACAGAATGTCTTAAATACTTTACATATATTCTTTCACTTAATTCTCAATGACCT